ATTTCCCCGCTTTTGTGCACGAGGAGGCAAAGTCTCGGGGAACTCACGTGGCTTGGCCCTCCCAGAGCCAGCCAACTCTAGAAACTATCTACGAAACAAGGTCATCAAAAGCCACGGTGGATGTTTAAGTTTCCAGGATTTATCATGGGAAAGGACGCGGCCATTAGGTCCCCTCGGACACGTCCCTTCGTTCTCACCCCTCTCCGAAGAGCAGTTCTGGAAGTTCTCTTTCTGAGTGTCTTTATGAGGTGTGGAAGCTGCTGATGCCGCCCTCCCATGGAAAGGCGGGCTCATGAGAACCTCAGGGCACGTCCCCACCCACCCACTTATCCCCTGGACCTGGCACGGAGGCAGTGGTGGCAGCGTAAAGACCCTCAGGAAAGTGGTCTCAGTAGTGCTCAGCAGCTGCCACTCCCCGGGGCAGGACGGAGTCCTCATCGGTGACCTCCCTGCCCACCTGCAGGCTGCCAGCGATACTCAGGCCAGAGTGTGTGTCACCTGGGCTTGCTGAAAGGTGTGGACAGGGGACCGACCTCTTGGGGAAGAGGGGTGGCCGGCGTGAGCCTCGGACCACAGGAAAGTGACCCCGGGACTCACCAGACCACGGCAGGCTGACTCAGCTGCCCACTGACACACAAACTCAAGCCTCACAGGGCCGTCCTTCCTTTTTTCCCTCAGGAACAATAACGAACCCTGGCTCTGTGATTCGGTTGTCACAGCAACTGGAAAACATTTGATAGCGTGAGTCTGTAGGGCAGGTGGGCCAAGCAGGTGTGGATGTAAACAGCCCTTTCCTGCCCCTTTACCCAGAGTCCCATCCATCTGGAGCACTTTAGGGAAACAGCCACCGGGAGCCGTGTCACTGCCGGCATGGGCTGATCTCTAAACCAGGAAGTCTGGACAGTCACAGGTATGTGCCAGTGCGGAGAAACCCGGGAGATGCTGAGTGTCCCATTGTACGTCCACCTCGAGCCTGTGGGGATCCCGCCCTGGACACCGTGCGGCAAAGGAGGACACGGCCACTGTCCCCACACTCAGCGAGCTCCCGGGAGGCCAAGCACACGGGCTCCGTCCCGGCTCTGCCTGGTCCCAGCCCAGTTCAAACAAGGGACTCTGGGAGGGGACAGGGCCCGGCACGGTGATTTGAATAGCTGACAAGGAGTATTACACATTCGGATGGGGAGCCATCGACGTTGCAGCACCTGACACCTCACAGAATGACCAACAGGGCGGCTTGACATCCACGCCGACCTCCTGAAGATGAAGCAGGTGTAATCCTGACCCAGCTTCCCCCACACAGGCTCCAAACGCCTCCTCCTCCCCGCCAGGTCTTGTCCCATCCGGATGTGGCTGCTCCTCACCACCGCTGACCCCTCTGCCTGCGTGTGCACCCTGGGTACCTCCCTGCAAGGCCCCAGCCCACCCCGGCACGGCTGGCGTCAGGCCACCTCCTTAGGACACAACTTCCGGTCCCTGTCCCCCGGCTGCTGGGCTGGCCAGGGTCTGCTCTGCATCTTTCCTGGCCCTGGGCTGCAGCGAGGGACCCCAGCACTGCAGAAAACCTGCCCCCCCACCCCACCCCAGTTCCAGCCTTCGCCTCACAGCCGTACCTCCTCGGCCTCCCTGTCCCTGCTGTACCTACCTCCGACCCTGTGCCCCTCAAAAAGTTCTCCTGGCCTTTAGGGGGCTGCTTGGGGGCTGCTCTCTCCCCACTCTTCTGGGGTCCTTAGTGGCCTCGTCCTATCTTTTCTGCCTGTGGCCAGAAAGCCTGTCCTGTACCCCTGCCCCCTGGCTGCTCCGGGGAAGGCGAACCCCACTCAGCTAGCTGTGGGGGCTGTTTCCTCGGGTGTCCCTGGTCTGTCCCGGTTCCCCTGTGGTGTGCACCGGACGCTTCCCCTAGAAGTTTGTTGGGGTGGCCACTCTCACTGCTCCCTGGATCAACCTGCTGTGGCTCCTTAGGTGCTCACAGAGCGGTGGCCCTGTCTCTGCTGGCCTTGTCTCTGTCCTCGCCCCTCAGCTCCCAGGGCAGCTACTCCCCGGGAAAATGGCTTGTGCTGACCAGCGATGGCCGTCTTTCCTCGGCTTTGTCCCACCCTCGTTCACGGCTCCGCACATCCCCCTGCAACATTCCCGTGGGCCCACAATCCCTGAGCTGAGCGGAAAGCGGGCTCACACTGCTGCCCCCCACTTCCCACACACAGCCCCCAGCCCTGCACCCCCATGCCCCAGACCCCTGTCACCTGGCCGTCTAACTCCAGGACAAGGCACAGCGCATTCCACAGCCCAGCGATGCAGGAAAGGAAAGGTTCTCTGAAGACCTCCTGCCCCAGGATGGGCCCTGGTGTGAACGGAGAACTTAGCTTTCCTGAATTTCTTTCCTAAGTTCCTTACATGAGCAAAGCCCTTGAGGAAACACTGACCATCTAGAAAGGACAGGAAGACATTCTGCAATGCCTAAATAGCTTCTAAGTACAATGTTGACAAGCATCGCGATTAGTCTAGTTTCCCGAGCCCCAGGAACAGCTAGCTTTTCAGCTCGTAAAAATGAGCCCAAACTGCCTGCCTTCAACTCTCTGTATCTTCTTTATGATTAATTTGACCTGGACTTCTGCGCAGACGCCTATGTGCCTTGCCCGAATTTAATCAAGGGCACAAAGAAGGAAGAACCAAGATCTGAGGGACCTGTTTCTCATGATGTCAGGCCTTGGTGACAAAGGGCACCATGCAGAGTGGGCGAGGGAGCCGATTAAGTCAGCTCTGGGTCCCCGGGGAGGTCACCCTGCCGGGCCTTGGTCTCCTCTTTCGGCAGGCAGCCCCCGGTGCTAGGCCGGCCAGACACAAAGTGATCTGTAGGTGGAGACGAGAGAGTACACACAGCTGGGCCAGTCCAGGGACAGCCAAGCCAGCTCCCTATAGGAAATGTTTGCTGCCTGGCTGTCTTATCTTGTCTCTGGCCCCCAGTGAAGGTTGACAATTAAACAAAGACAAACAAATTAAGAGCCAAGCATGGGAGATGATGCAACTTCCTGCTGGCCCCAAGAGGACACGAAATACCTGTGTAATCAGTGAGGGGCGATGATGTCACCCAGAGAAGTGCTCACTCTCAGGCCAGCAGAGGTCACATGACCCAGCCCCAGGGCTCTGGTCACGTGGGCGGGGTTCCCCTCTGAGCTCAGGGTTTCTGCCCAGAGAACCCGAGCACAAACAGAAACTGTCCTGTCACCATGAAATCCACAATGCATACTACAGTTTATCTCCTCAACATTTTAGTCTTAGGAAAGAGCCAGAGCAAGCTTACCCTGCAGAATCAGGCCTCCCGGGATGGGCCCTGCTTGGTGCTCTGGCAGGAAGTCGCTGGCACTTGTGTGACCTCAAGCAAGTTGTTCACACACCTGAACCTCAATCTACTCACTTGTAACATGGCTTCCACGCTCGGAGCAGGCAGTGATAAGGGGAAAGTTGTAGAGGAAGAAAGGCTCAAGAAAGCAGGGAAAGTTCACACGGAAATGCTGCTGGTGAGGTAACAGCTGCAGGCGAGGTCTAAAATCAAATTGTGTAGACAGCAGTTTCCACTGAGTCTTGCCCCTGTGGCTCCATATTGGGCACAAGTGTCAAGATAGAATGACTTGGCATCTCATTTGTATGAGTGTAAGGCACAGAGTGTAAATGATTTACTTATAAAAGAATCGCCAAGGTGGGTGTGGTGATAAACACCTGTAATGCCAGCTCAGAGAGAGGCTGAGGCAGGAGGATTTCAAGTTTTAGTCCTGCCTGGGAAATTTAGCAGAGACCTTGCACCTTAGCAGTTGTACCCAAGATGGTGTCACTCAGGACAAGATGTGGCCAGGACTCTGCTGCCCTTAAGAAAGCATCCGGGACCACACGGTTGGGCAGCCACATCCCCTCATTGCCAATGACCTCCAGGGCCACTGTCACCTTCTAGGATAGCAGAGGAGACAGTGTTCATAATAAACTCTGGTCAACAGCTGCTGAGAACACAGGGCTGGGCATAGTACATTTAAGAAACAAGTTCACCCAAGACACTTGATCAAAATGTGTCCAGGTGGTAAGCATTTAGGTGTCCAAAGGGACACGAGATGACGGATTATCCCGTGGGTACCCTAGATTTTAGTGGACGATGCCCTTACTGACCAGACAAAAAAACAGCCATAACGAATGAAATCAGAGTGCTGTGTTAGCTAAGGGCTTGCCAGGACCCCGGATCTCTACGCACGCCTTCGCGGGCAGCACTGATGATCTGGGGGCTCAGGTGTGGAATGCGAGGGTCAGAGCCAGTGGGTGCCGCCCTCGGGGCCTTGTCCGAGTATCCGACCCCAGTGGCTCTGCATGCAGTCCCAGCCCCTGCCAGAGGGGGCGCTGTCCATGGCGGCCTCGTGGGCCCTGGGGTCCTCTGAGAGAAGCCCCCGGGTTCCAGCTTCCTTGGCTTGGGACGACCCGCCTGCTCCCTGCCACATCCTCCCACCCCCAGACTTGCCTGCCTCGGAGTCCCCAACAAAAGGTTCTGAAGCCCAAAAATATCTGCTTCAGTTTTCAGCTTGATTTTTAAATTTTTTATGGGGGTGGGGAGGTAATAGATTCTTTGGGGAATGAACCCCTAAGTCAATAAAGGGGTCTCTTCCTCTCCATCCCCCACTTTGAGCAGCTCTGAGTGGCCCATAGCCCTGAGTGCACCCCCTGACGAAGGCCACCTCTGGGAGGTCCGAGGCACCAGATACCCCATGCAGCTGGCTCTGGGAAGGGAGACTTCTGACCCCATTGCCTTTGTATTTTTTGAATCCTCAACCCAGGTTAAATTTGTTTTGAAGTCTAAAAAGAGAAAAAGTGAAGCAGGGTGTGGTGACCCACGCCTATAATCCCAGTAGTCTAGGAGGCTGAGGCAGGAGGATGACAGATTTGAACCCAGCCTGGAAACTTGGTGACTTAGTGAGACTCAGTCTCAACATTTAAAATAAATAAAATTTTTAAAGGCTGGGGATGAGCTCTGTGCAAGGCCCTGTGTTCCATCCTTAGTACTTAGTAACGGATGAAGAGGAGGAGGAGCCAGAGTATATACGAAGGTGTGAAGAGTTTATCTGACAAGTGCTAGGCCACTGTATGCAAGAGGTTCGAGCTTCCTCGCGAATCAGCGAATGACTATTTGAGTAAAGAAATGAACCAACAAGTGCAGGAGGAGGCACGGTTCTTCCTCACCCGAGAATCCCAGCTAATCAGTGATGGAAAACACCACTGGGCAAGCACAGTCCTGGCTGCCTGAGCCCATGGCGGGTGGGACACTCTGAGGAGGGGTTCGGTGATGTCGCGGTGCCCCCTGGAGGATCCTCAGCCTCCCAAGGTCAGAGCGACCACACATGGACGGACTTGGCTAGGACCTCGGTGCCGTCCTTGTCCGCGCGTTCAGGGCCGGAAGTGCTGCCCATCCCTGCTGGAAGGACATCTTGCCTTGTCCTCCTCCCAAACATGAAGGTGACGGAGTGGAGAACAGAGGACAGGGGACGAAGGGGGCAGGGCAGCTGCCTCTCTGTGTGACTCCGGATGGCTCCTGAGCCAGTCTTTCCCTCGTTCTCAGGCTTGTCTCTCTTGGGCTCTGAGTTCTAGGACAAGCACAGTCTCTTTAATCTTTCTTCCAGCTGGATCTTGGAAACATACTTTCACAGAAGCTGGCACTCTCTTCCTCTTTAAGAAACCCCCTGCTTGACCTCCTTCGTGATCTCACTGTGGAAAAGCATCAGACCCAAATCCAGGGTCCTCGCTGTTGTCCCTCTGGTCCCCAGGCAGGTCTCTCCAGGAAGCCTCTCCAGATGGTCTCTGTTCCCTGTCACTGAAACAGATCGCCTGAGGGTGGGTGACTTATAAGGAAAAGAGGTTTACTTGGTACCTAGATGTAGCCCTGGACCCTCCCTCTCGCCCACAGAGAGGCCAGGCTTGTTTCCCACTCTCCCTGGGCCCCAGTAGCTCCCCACAGGTTGCCGCCTTTGCCAGTGTTCAGCTCTTGGCTCAGGGCTCCCTTCTTATACAGACCTTCCCTGACCTCTTAGCTCTTCCCCAACAGAGCACCACCAAATGATCTGCTTACAAAAGACAGAAATCGGAAGCCAGCCATGGTAGTGCACACCTGTAATCCTAGCACTTGGGAGGCTGAGGCAGGAGGATCACTGCCACTGCCAGCCTGAGCTACACAGCAAGACCCTGTCTCAAAAAATCACCCCAGAGTCTCAGAGCCTGGGAGTGCTTGCACCAGGCATGCACTCTGCTCAAACCTTCTGACTGCAGAGAGGTCACAAGTGGCTTGGACTTCACTACTGCGAGGTTCCTGTTTGACACCGCCCCTCAAGTGAGGTGTGAGGCTTCTCCTCTCGCTGCTTCGGGGTCTCCATCTGTAAAATGGGGGTGATAATAAAGTTCCTACACCATCGTAGAGGTGTGGTGCAAAGTGAGATCGCACCTGAATGGGAAGCTCCCTGTGCTCACCACCTGGCCTGTTGGGGGTGATAATAAAGTTCCTACACCATCGTAGAGGTGTGGTGCAAAGTGAGATCGCACCTGAATGGGAAGCTCCCTGTGCTCACCAGACCTGGCCTGAGGTCAGGGGCAGCTTCTTGTTACCAAAGAGCTCTGAGGCCAGGGAGCCCAACGGGACTGCAGGGGCTCCAGCCCTCAAGTCAGGATCCACCTTCCAAGTCCCCATTAAGAGAGAGGACATGGAGATGGTCACTGCGAAAGCTTTGGTCATGCACTGGGTGCACTTGGGTGCTTCTTACCCCTCAGATGCCTCCTGAGCTCTGGAGCCCAGGGATGCAGCTTCCAGTGCCTCTGCAGGGCCAGATTCCTTGGGACCTGTCACTGTGGCTGGAAATCTCATGTGTCACAATAGCTCACTCAGCCACCCCCGGAGAGGGTGTCACCCCGCTTCCTGATTCCTCGCCTATAAGTGGCCAAGCTGACGGTATCGTCTGTGGACGTGGGCTCATAGGAACTGGCAAGGCCCAAAATACCCCTTCCCCATGCCTCCGCCTTTCCCTGTGGCTTCTGTGTCTAAATTTACACCTCGGAGGCTGGAAATCACTGTCAGGATGCAGTGGCGGCTGACCATTAGGAACTGGCAAGGCCCAAAATACCCCTTCCCCATGCCTCCGCCTTTCCCTGTGGCTTCTGTGGTCTAAATTTACACCTCGGAGGCTGGAAATCACTGTCAGGATGCAGTGGCGGCTGACCGTGGGTGGCAGGGGACAGAGGGCAGGCTCTGTCCTCAGTGTCCCTCAGGGGGCAGCAGCTGGACTTGAGAGCGCAACGCATCCTCTTGTGGGTCCATCTTGCTGTGCTAAGCACAGTGGCATGCGTGGGAGGATCCGCACGGAACGGAATTCTGCTCACTCCTTGGGTGGCAGGGGACAGAGGGCAGGCTCTGTCCTCAGTGTCCCTCAGGGGGCAGCAGCTGGACTCGAGGGCGCAACGCGTCCTCTTGTGGGTCCATCTTGCTGTGCTAAGCACAGTGGCATGCGTGGGAGGATCGCACGGAACGGAATTCTGCTCACTCTGCCTCTCAGCAAATACTTATTGAGCACCTACTACATGTGGGGTTAAAGTCTCTACTCTCTCTACTCTACTTGCATTCCAGTTAGAGGAACAAACAGAAAATAAGAAATACAGCATGTTTGATAGTGAGACATGTCCTAGAGAAAAAGAAAGTAAAAGCTGGCCATGGTGGCGCTCATTTGCAATCCCAGCTGCTCAGGAGGCTGAGGCAGGAGGATGGCAAGTTCCAGGCTAGCCTGGGAAACTTATCAAGACCTTGTCTCAAAGTGAAAAAGGTCTGAGCATTTGCCCAGTGCGCTCAAGGCCTTGGGTTCCATCCCCAGCACAGCCTCCACCCTACCACCAAAGGGAAAGAAGGTGCAAAGGACAGGAAACAGGGATGCAGTTTAAATTAAGAAGGTTAAGGAAGGCCTCTGTGTCTCACAAGTGCCCTGGGCCATGCGGCTGGAGTGGAGTGAGTGGTGGTTAGAGGGGCTGGCGCTCTGACAGGGGTCCTGCCTGGGAGTCGGAGGGGACCTGGGAGGCTGCGAGCCGTGCAGAGACCACTGACCTTCTCTGCTGGCTATCGCTGTGCCGAGAGGCCAGCGCCTTGAGATGGCTCCACAGGGCCCTCCCAGGAGCCCCGCACTTCTGAGGCAGAGTGGAGCTGTGCCCTTCTCACGCAGCCCCTTTCCTGACCCTTCCTGGGGCTCGGGCGCCCCCTGGGGTGGTGGCCTCACAGATGACCTAGAGCAGGCTGTGGACAGTTTCTCCCGTGACCGGAATCCAAGGGGAATGAATGAATCCGGCCCACGGTCCTGAATGTGCTTTCCCCAAAGCAGGGATGTGGTCTCTACGGGAATCTGTGGACAGTTTCTCCCGTGACCGGAATCCAAGGGGAATGAATGAATCCGGCCCACGGTCCTGTGCTTTCCCCAAAGCAGGGATGTGGTCTCTGTGGGATTGACAGTTTCTCCCGTGACCGGAATCCAAGGGGAATGAATGAATCCGGCCCACGGTCCTGAATGTGCTTTCCCCAAAGCAGGGATGTGGTCTCTACGGGAAACTTCTGTCCTTTTCCCCTCACCGTAGTGAGTTCCAGGGTCTGGGCACTGAGTTCTTTGGACCCGACTTAAGGCTCTGATGGTGAATCACACTATTGTTTTCCTTGACAGCCACGGAGCCTCTGTTGGTTTGTTTATCCAGAGTCGCAGAGAAAGCTGTGTACTCACACAGCCTCCTGCCTCTGCGGCGTGGTCTGCGGGGGTGAAGGTAAGCAGATAGGAGCCTTCAAGGGTGACCACAGCGCGGCATCGGACCTCCACCTTGGCCGGACGGTCCCCTTGCCTCCTGGCGGATCCTTCCGCGTCCCTCCTCTGCGAGCCTCCCCTCTTCCCTGCAGCCTCAGGGCTGTTTTCTCCTTAGCAGCTCCTGCTGCAGGCTTTTTTCTATTGCTGGGTCCTTGGCTGTACTTGTGTCCACCTCCTGCAAGCCGTCAGAAAGGCCCTCGAGGACAGGACCACCCCCTACTGGCTCCGGGAGCCTCTCCTCAACACCAGGCCCACGTGAGGATTAAGAGACAGAACCTCTCACCGCGCCGATGGGTAGAGGCTGCAGCATGGGAGGGCTGCTGTCCAGCTGCGCTTTGCTGCAGAGGGAGGGTTGTACAGACGGAAGCAGGAGAGGCAGCATTTAGGAAGAGGAAGCTGCTTGAACAAAGGCCTGGAGACAAAATTCCAAGGAAGCGGAAACAGGGGACTAGAGAAGGCAGCATCTTTCCTTCTGGCTGGGCCCGTGAAGTGCAGAGGTCACCAAGTCTGGACCTGAGGGCGGAAGGGAGACCGCTCCTATCAGAGCAAGATCTCAGTTCCTAGGAACGCCACAGGGGTGGTCTCACGGGGGAGGCAGGGGACCTCGTCTGGTGCCTTGTAATCTACAGCGGGTGCCTTATCTGCAGCTTTTGCAATTTTTGCTGTATCTCTAAGATCATCTGAATCCAGCGGGGCAGCGCTTTCTTCTCAGGATCTTGTGGGAATGTAAGAAGAAGACCTGTGTCCCTCCTTCCCGGTGTCCGCTGAGATCCAGCCGTGCAGCCAAGGGAAACGGAGGTGGCCACCCCTGGCCTACCCTACATAGTAGCTTCCCATGCGGTTCTTCGTTTTTTCCCTTGTCTGCCAGGAAAATGTCACCCCCAGGGTGACTTGGAAGCTCTGTTCGAAGAGAGGACTCTCTGAGCCAAGCTCTTCTCCCCAGCCAGGGACACCTGCCCTGGTCACTGAACTTAAAAAGATGTAAGCACCTCATGCCCCTGCAATTTAGAGGCTCGGCACCCATCTTTCCTAACAGAGTGAGAAGCTCTTTAAGAACTATGAGAAGTTTGGGGGCTGCCATGTATTTTATTCTGTTCATATTCTAAAACCCCAGATTTTCCAGTCTGGGAAGGGCTCCTCAGAAGGGCCAGGTGACAGTCATTTGGACTGCACTGGGACCAGGACAGTTCCCCCTGGAGTGACGCGTACTGGTGCTGTGGAATCAGCCATCTCCCTCTTTAACAGTCCCAGCACTGAGCCACCCAGCCTGGGGACCTTTTCCTCGTCTTCCAGGTGAGGTCACCTAAAGAGGCAGGGGTGGGGGGAGATGGCTGTAGCAGCGGCAGGGCCCTTCCCCTGGAGCTGTGTCCACTGGGGGCCCTGACAGCCACGGGAGATTCTCACACAATGGCTCCCAGCAGCACACCTTCCTGTGCCTGAAGCCCTGTATGGTCCCCACCCACACTGGGTCTCAGTCGACCCCATTGCTTTGGCCAGTGGGACATCGGCAGTCTGGGCCAATCCACAGTTCCCCTGGGGCCCAGGTGTCCTCAACCAAAGGATGACCTCGTCCTGGGGAACATTTGACACTATCTGGAGACAGTCTTTGTTGTCCTTCTGGCCTGGAGGGGGCAGAGAGGGGCCTGGGACACAGCTAAACACTTCATGAGGTACAGGGAAGCCCTCCCTACGGAAAAGGGGCAGGACCCAAGATACAGTCAGCTGGGTGCAAAGAAAACAGCACAAACATGAAGTTAAGAGCCAGTGCAAGCCATGCAGCCAATGAGCTTAAAAATACAAAAGCAAACACAGAAGAAAGGAGAAAAAGTTAGGATGAAGATGGGCAGATAAGGAGCCTTCCTCTAGGAAGAAGATTCTCAGGCAGAGTGTGCTAAGTCAGTAGGCTGCTCCCTCGGACTGCTGGGCTGGCTTGAAGGAATTTAGAAAAGCAGGCTAACTGGCTTCCTTTGACCTTAGACCAGCTGAGTTACTGATTTTCTTTAGACTCTACATTGCAAAGCCTAAAGTCCAACTGGTTATCCTAAACTCACAGAGCCACCCTGTTTAAAACAAGTTTCTGCACTCTGCTGATCTACGTGAAAGCAAATTAGAAAGCACCTCAGAAGGAAAGGAGTCCCCTCCTGTAAGCCAGGAGCTTTTTCCTTCTTGTTATTCCCAACAGACACGCTCCTAACTCCCTCCTTTCGCCTGTGGTTTCCCTCTTGGACTTTATGAGACAATGAGATCATTTACCTGGCTCTTTTGGGATCAACTGTTTCACCCCCAACAGGAATGATCAACCCCGAGCGGTACCAGCGCTGAGGTGCCTGCCTCCGACCAAGCTGTCCCAGATGTCCTCTGGCCCGCGGAGGCCCCACAGGAGGGCCCTGGGGACACCAACAGAGAAGGCCCCCGTTGGTTCCCGCCTAAGAATTACAAGCAGAGCAAAATCAGGCATTTCACGGTGCCCTTGACCCGCCAAAGTCTACTTCAGACGCCTGGCTCACAGGGGCCCTGCCAGCTTATGTGTGCACACACGCACTCACTCTGTGACTGGCACGGCAGAGTGGCCGGTCTCATGCCCGGGCACGCCAGCCTGTAAATATTTACCCACTCCGCACCGTTATCAGCCTCCCGCACTGCACACCCATCATCACCAGCTGCTGCTCTATGTACTCAGAAAGTATTCCGTTCGCTCCCATGACAGCCCATGAGCCGTTGCCCCCATTTTACACATGAGAAACTGAGGCTCAGAGAGACTCACTTGCCCAAGGTCATGTGGTCACTGTGCAGGGCCAGAACTGTGGGGCATGTGGGGCATCTGGCCCACGGCCCACGCCCTCGGCTGCTGCTCTATGCTCTGCTGCCAGAGACTCTTGGCCTCCCGAGTGCTCTGTCCTCTCGTGGCCCGGCTGCCCCACCCTGCCCCACTGTCCCCACTGCTGGGCCACGCCATGGCTCCCAGGTGGCCACAAGTGACAGGTGTGCCTTGGAAGAGGGCTCTCCATCTCCAGGGGCTTCCTGGGGTCACCATCCAACCTGGAGGCCCAGCGCCAAGACTTCTTCATTGTGGGACTTGGGGCCAGTTGCTTAATTCTCCAAGTCTGATTTTCTTTACTGACAGATGGGCCAGGTCGTTGGTGTCCCCCAACCAATGAGACGCAGGACAAAGTCCTGGGTGCTGGTGATAAGAGGTGGAGAACATTCACAGGCTCCCTGCTCTCACGAACATAGAGGATGACAGGCAGGGCAGGGAAACATGAAGCAGACACCAGAGGGCCAAGTGTCACCGTGGACCAGCGTGGACTTAGTGAGAACCACTGACTCGGATCGTGGAAGCCTTTGCACGGCGTGCTCAGTAGAGATCTGTGACGTCCACATTCCTGGCTGCTGTGACCGGCCTCTCAGTCCACAGTGGTGACTTCATTTTGCTCCCTGTGGAGCTGGGTAGCAAGCAGAGAGAAGGGAGCCCTTAAGGTAATGGTGACTTTGAAAACCTCCAGAAATAAAAGGAAGCTTTCCAGCCAGGTGTGGTGGTGCAGGCCTGTAATTCCGGTGCTATGGGGAAGCTGAAGCAGGAGGGTTGCAAGTTCAAGCCCAGACTGGGCAATTCAGCAACTCGGTGAGACTCTGTCTCAAAATAAAAACATAAACAGAAGTTTGGGAATGTAGCTCAGGGAGAAGACCCTGGGTTCAGTCCCCAGACACACACACACACCCCTCTCACCGTCCCCATTATAGCTGTGCTATGGCCCTGACCATGTAGCCCTCTGGTTCCGGTTCAGTTCCAGCCTTCCTTTCCTTGGCAAGTGCTTGGCTTCTCTGCACTCCAGTTTCTTGCCTGTCCGCTAAGGGAGCTCCCGTACACACTACAGAGGCTGTCGGTGGTCAGTGCTCCTCAGGCACTCCCCGACTTTGTTATTCCCCCAGTCTGCCTGCTCCCTGCCCCATCCTCTCTGAAGCCTAAGACTCCTGGCTGGTGGACAAATGACAAGGTCCCTGCTGCCACTCCACCTCTGAGGCCAAAGGTCACTTGTTCCCCTTGAGGGCCCTGGACATTTCCCGCACACCGTACCCACACACCCCCAGGGACTCTGCCCTGCATTCCAGTGCTGCTGTTAATCCAAGCTGCAGAGGAAACCCAAGTTCCCTGTATAGCTAGAGCCCCCAGAAGGAATGGAGTCATCCCAGTCACACTGACCAGAGGGAACTGTGGCCCACTTCCTAACTCTTTGGGGCATATGTCTCCCTGGATTTCCCCATGCAAGAGAGCTGTTTAAATAACTACGTACGAGGTGTGATTGAAAAATATGGTGAGTGTCTGAATTTAAAAACTTACTACAGTAAGAGACACCTTGCCCTTTACTCTCCCTCACTTCCAACACTCTTCTCCAGTCCTTCTTGTCACTTTCTGCGCAGTTCCGGGAGTCCTCTGTCTTGAGTGCTGCCCGGCGTGTTCTGCATGGACTGTCGTGGTTGTCACAGCTTGTGTCTGGAGGTCCCCCAAGCCTCACGCTTCCTCCGGGTGGCTGGACCTAGAGTGTGTGATTGCCTTGTGGTGGGGTGAGGCTGAGGGCACTAGAATTAGGACATCAGTGCTGCCCACCCTATGTAGCCTGGATAAAAGGGCAGGGAGCTGCTGTGAGGGCCCTTGTTACCTTTGCTGCCTGGTGTGGGCCATGTTATCTCTCCTCTGTGAGGCCAGTTTGTTATCCTTGCCTTGGAGCCAGCCGATTACGGACTGAACCTCTATGATCTGAGTCAATAAGCCTTTCCCCTTTAACTGAGTGTCAGGTATTTTTGTCTCAGCCACGAGAGAAAAGTAACTAACACAATGGTCATTTTGACTGTGGAGCAGAGCCAGAAGCCACACAGTGCCGGGGCTGAGACTCAGGCGGATGAGGACACAGCGCTGTGATTTTACAAGCTGCCTTTCAGTTGGATGACACTCGGCGGCAGCAGTCACCGTACGCGTTTTTTGTACCACGCCTCATATACAGTTATTTAAATAGATATGTTGTCCTTTCAGCAAAGAGGACTACCAGAGCTACGTCAGAGAGTGGCAAGAAAGACTGGTAATGTTTGAAGGGGGCGGTTTGAGGGGGATTTGTGGCCATGTGTCTTTCACTGTAATATGTGTTTTTTGGATTTTTAAATTATTTTATCATTTTATTTTTTATTTATTTCTGGTACCGGGGATTGAACTCAGGACCTTGCGCTTGTGAGGCCACTGAGCTGCACCTCCGGCTGTACCACATGTTTTAATTTCAGCATTCACAGTACATTTGATCACCCCCTTACCTTCTCCAGGCTGGGAGGCACACGCATCTCTGAGCAGCTCTGGTCCCTCCCAGAGGCAGCTTGTCTGTCAGAGGGAAGAGCCTTGGGCTTGTGTTCGGGGACAAATGAGGCCTTTAGGTGAAAAGCCACTGTCCTGCACCCTCTTCTGGTTCAGCCACCAGTGCCGTCAAGACAACCCGGACACTGAGGGGCTGGGCAGGGGGACTGCAGAACATCTGCAGCTCAACAGCGGCTGCAGGACTTAACTGACAAGGGCCAGGGTGGCCTTTTCCCTCACATCTTATTGAAGAAACCTTTTTCGTTTGTTTGTTTGTTTGAGACAGGGTCTCACTATGTAGTTGAGACTGACCTGGAACTTACCATGTAGCCCAGGCTGGTCTTGAGCTCACAGTGATCCTCCTGCCTCAGCCTCCTGAGTGCTGGGATTACAGGTGTGCGCCACCACACCCACCTTCCCTTGCATTTTAAAATCAGTGCAAGCTGGCCACACAGATTTAACAGGTTTCATTTTAACAAATTTATGCAGACCCATAACACACTTTAATCATTTCTCCTACTTTCCCTGCCCCACTTCACCCTGCCTTTCACATTTTTGGGGGTTTCAATGTGTATAATTATTTTGATCATATTTGTTCTCCCAATTACCTGCCCTTACACCCCTCACCCTTGTCTAATAGTAGTTTCTCTTCTACTTTCTTGTCACCTGTTCTATTCTTTTTTTTTTTTTTTTTCTGGTACCAGGGATTGAACTCACAATTTTTCGCTTGCAAGGCAGGCAGTGGAACCACTGAGCTAAATCACCAGCCCTTTTATCGTCTGTTTTAGATTCCACATATTAGGAAGAACATGTGACATTTGTCTTCTGAGTCTGATTTATTTCACTCAACCTGGTGGCCCACAGGTCAATCCATTCTCCTGCACATGAAAAGAAAAGCCATTCTTTTTTATGGCTGAATAATACTCCACTATATATTTCTCCACATTTCCCTTTAGGGTGGCTTTTAACCAGGCTTTCCTCTCTCTCTCTCTCTCTCTCCTTTATCTCTCTGGGGGGGGGGTTGAGACAGGGTTTCACTATGTAGTTCAGACTGACTTGGAACTCACTATCTAGCCCAGGCTGGTCTCACAGAGATCCTCCTGCCTCAGCCTCCCGAGTGCTGGGATTACAGGCATGCATGTGCCACCAAACCCGGCTTTCTCTTTCTTTTTTTAAACCAGGCTTTCTCAATGCTTCCCAAACCTAGGACAGGGGAGTTTGCTGTGATTGTTTGCCACAGAATTCCTCTAAAATTTCTTAAAACCTGTCATAGCTATAGTTTATCAAGCACACATCCAGTAACAGCCCCTTTACAGAAAAATTATGTTTAGTCCTCCTCCCAGTGCAGCAAAGTAGAGAAGGAAATTGTTGTTCGAAAGTCGGTGGCCTGGACCAGGCTTGCTGCCAAACCCAGGCTCTCTTACACTAGAGCCCGTGCACACTTTGGGTAAACATTCACACCTGATTTACTAAAGTGACACACTTTACTAAAAAACCCAAAGGGCTGCTGTGGAGTGCAGTTGGGCTGTGCACTCTTAGCACAAGTGAGGCCCTGGGTTCTGCCCCCAGCCCCAGGAAAAACAAAAAGAATCACATAGGCTCGGGAGCACTGCAAAACCCAGCAGCCAGCACCTCCTCCTTCTTCGGCCCTGCTCCTCAGAAGCCATCTTGTGACTCAGCAGCTGCTGTTTTCTGCTCTTTGCTCTGGATTTCATCTGAATGCCATATCTCAGCTTCCCCTGCAAACAAAGAATCCCGCCCCCTTCTCCCTGTTAGTTTTCTGGACTTGTTGCATTTTCTCCCAGTCCCTCGCAGGAGCTGCCGGAGGTCTGGCCATGTCTGTCACTTTTCACACGGGCCTCTCCCTCTCCCCAACGTCTGCTGTGGGGCGGTGGGGGGGCTCTGTCTGGCCTCCAGCCGGCCTGGCTCCTCTTTGGTCCACTCTAGGACTCCCTTTGCCTTTTTCTTGGGCTCGAGCCCCTGCTCCGGAGGCTGTGGTTTCTTCTTTCATGAGTTTGAGGTTTGCCTCTTGCTTGTCTGAAACCGTTTTTATTTTCCCTTCACATTTGGTTGATTGTTTGGTATAAAATCATTACCTTCAGATCCTGAAGGAGTTTCTATTTCTCCGTGGTATTCCGTTCAGGGTTTCTGGTGAGAACTTTGATGCCCCTCCGGTTTCCATTCCTGTGTCTGCTGAGTACCTCTTTCTTTATTTTATTTTTTAAAAATTCTTTGATTCTAAAATTTGATACTAATGTGTTCTGGTGTGAATCCTCTTTTTTCCTAACCAAATGTACTGAATAGCTCCTACTGAGACTTTTTGCATTAGTTGTATTTTAAGTTCCGAAGAGCTTTCTTTTCTGTCGTTTCTTTTTCTTGGGAATCTATTTTTGTATCATTTTTCCCCCAAAGTCACTAATTTATAACTTCTTCTTCTCTTTCTCTTTTTCCTTCTTATCCTTCTCCTTTTCTTTCTACTGGAGAACAGGGCAGGCTGTGGTTTGGTAGGTGCCCCAGTAGGCACGACAGTAGGGTGACCAGAAGGCTCTTTGACTGTGAATCCTCTAATGACATTTCAGGGAGCCTTTTCCTCAGAGTGGAGAAGAGTGGTGAGCTCAGTCTGTCCAGAAAGGCCTCTCCCAGCAACTACCTACCAGCAACTACAGTGGTGACACCTGACTGCTGGTGTTTTGGGAGCAGCCAGGGAATCGGAAGGTCTGTAATTTAGTTGGAGCTTGTCATTAATCTCCCAGGTTGCGAACTCCTGCCTTCCTGTCACTCCAAGAGTGCTGGCCCATCAGAAGCACCACTGTATGTTTTGTGTGCATCCCCGAATTGAGTCACAGAACCCAGCAGGAAGGGCCAGGGCCACCAAGAGCAGCGCCGCCACTGCTGGGCCCGGTCCTGCCAGGTGCCTCGCAGGAACCGGGCCGTGTGGGAATGGTCATGGTGTCTGCTCTCAAAGCTTGCTCTGCTCTCCCCTCTCCCTTGGGGGCGATCGCCACACCTCGGGTGAGCCGCAGGGGACTGAGAGCAGCCTGGTATCAAGTGAGAGCTGCTCCGTGTGTTCCTGCATTTTTCTAGTTCACAACTTCGATCAGACTCTAAGGGAGGCCACTGAACCCCAAATCTCTCATGAAGCGGCACAACTCTGAAGGCCTCCTCACCCTCCCAACGCATGCGCTCCTTGTGTTTCTGGGGTGGGGGTGAAGTTTTGTGGGGGTAAAGCAATGAAGCCATCACTGGCGTCCAAGCCGCCTCCCTATGTCCACGGCAGAGCTGGGGACAGGTCACGGACAAGGAACGAGCCAGGTCCTGGAGCTGGAGGGTGCTGTCCCTAAACTCTGTGCTAACCCAGTCCCGGGCCAAAGTCTGTCCTGGGCCATCCTGGGCCTGCGTCCCATGATTTCAGAGCTGGGCCCAAATACCACTGCCTTCACCATCACTGATGCCTGAGATGCAGACGGAGGAGCCATCTGGCTGGAGAGACACAAGATCTAGCCAGGATTAGCCGTCCTCCCCAGGTCCACCGAGAAATAGCCCGTCTGTGGGTTGTTTCCTCACAGCTGGTGGTCTGTGGAGCGCAGGTGGATGTCCCATAGGGCTGTCAAGGAGGAGGGAGCCTAGGGCTTGAGTGCTGTCCCCTCAGTCGTGGGAACTACGGAGCGCGGGCCTGGCCAGGTGTGGTCCCTGGGGGCCCTCACAGTTCAGCTCTTCTTCCCCACCCACCCGCAGCCTGCACCCCGGAGCGGCTGGCTTCCCTGGGGAGCCAACCCTGCCACAGGAAAGGAAGGAACTAGCACAGTCGTAGGTTATTCTCTCCACTGCTCCCCTGCGAAAATAATCCGTGGGTGTCCAGAGGCAGGGCCCCTCTCCACCGCCCGAGGCTGGGGGCCCCAGGATCAGGGAGTTGGGGAGACATCAGGCTAATTCGGTGGAAGCCACACTCCAGGGTGGGGAGGCCGTGCCCAGGCTGGGTTCCTGCTGCTCGGAACCCAAGTACGGGACACAAGGGCTGTGTCCAGAGGAGGGCAGACCAGAGGGAGGTGTACTGAGGCGAAGATGATCAAAGGGCTGCAAAGAGAGACGGAGGCGGGTTAAAGGTTAAGGCAGCTGTAGGTATTTACCCGGAGGGGAAGGGAGGAGGGGCACTTCACCATCTGTTCCAGAGCTGCCCAGTGAAGACTTCTTTCCTCCTCCCGGCCTCATCTCTCCTCCGTCTCACTCTTCTTTGTGTTCCGTTTGCTTTTCCTTTCATTTGGACTTTCCCTGAGCGCCTCCTCTGTGCCAGGCGCGGTGCCCGCATCTGGAGATGGAAAGATGGGGTCTCCGCTTGCAGAGGCAGCAGAGTCAGGGGCGAGGGGCCCGGGGAGCTTTGTCCTGAGGTGGTGACAGATGGCGTCCGAAGAGTGAACCAGCGAACCTGGTGGGCACCGGTGGGGAAGGCTTTCCAGACCCCGGCATAAAACAGGGTGCAAGGCAGGGACCACTGGCTGGGCTCTGCTTCCCCGAAAACACAGCCTGGGCAGGTCCCAGAGTCCCAGGCACGGACGGGGTGGGGAGCCCTGGTGGGGTCCAGTAGCCACGCAGAGTAGCACAGGGGAGAGATGGTGTCGATCACGGGTCCAGACAACAGCACAAAGCCAGAACTTCCTGTCAAGCAAACTGAGGGATACTGAGTGGAACGAGTGGTTCTCGAAGGAACAGACCCTGGCCAAGTCTGGAGACATGCTGGCTGTCCTCGTTTGGGGTCCCATTGGCATCTCATGGGCAGAGCCGGGGTGGCCCTCAGCAGCCGCAGTGCACAGGTCAGAGTTTCGAGAAAGCCTCTTGCCCTCCTCCCCGCCCGCTGTCTGTTCTTCCTGCTGGTTGTGCACTCTTCGGCCGCCCGGCAGGATGGTGTGGATCGGAAGAGCTGGGCTCAGACAGCTATCGTGTGGGGGAAGGCGAAGGAAAACCGCGGGGAGAAGACAATCAGCAGAGTGAGGGGATTCTAGAGGTCTTTCCATTCCAGCAGCCCTGACCAGCTGTGTCAGTCAGGGTCAGGGACCAGCTCCACGCCAGGCCCTGGGTGGGCACGGGAAGAGTCTCCTGGGACCAGCCTGGCAAAGTGGAACTTTGGAAGTTAGAACTGCTCTCCTTGAGAGATAAGTGTCTTCTCCAAACTCCCTCGGGCCTGAGGCAGAGCCACCACCTGCGCTCTTAGCCCAGATTCTATGCAGATGTTGGGGTACGGAAGAGGACCGAAGCTCGGGTGTGTCTGTTATGTCATCATAACCCCGACCCCACTATTCCTGGCACACCTGGGTGTGGGGAGATTTGAGGCCAACAAGGCCTCACGATCTCCTCAGACCAGCTTTGACTGGCCTTTGATTTGGTGAGAGACAAGCAAACAGACCTGAGCATCTGGACCCAAGTGGCCAGTAATAAAACCTGCAGCCAGGTTCTCTGTTGTATCTTTATTCATAGAATCTTTTAACAAAGCCATGTCTCAGTTTATTTGCCTGTCTCTTTCCCTCATCTCCTTGAAATGCCAGCTCCTGAGGGCAAAGCTTTTTATCTGTGTTGTTCACAGCTGTGTAGCCCATACCTGACACACAGCATGTGCTCACTCGCAAGGTGTGACGTGAATGACATTCTGAATCCCCACCTGGCTGTTCAGCTGGGGTCCCCCTCTGCTGCCCCACAGGGCCAGGGGAGTTCTGGAGTCTCCCTCCTCAAGCGGGTGGCATTTATTGCATTATCTAGAGCGATCATTCCAAATTGCTTTGAGGGAGGATGTGTTGACCCCTACATCCGGGGCTGTCCCTGGACAACCTAGGATGATGGACTATTCACCCGCAGAGGGAGGAGGGGGCAGGGCAGGGTGACGCAGAAGGTCAGGCCGGCTGGCAGCCAAATGGAATTGTAGCCACTTGACGGGACAGCGGCAGGACAAGGGCCGTGCTGCTCCGGGAAGTGTTGCCAGGCGTGACATGGGGGCCTAAGCACATCTGAGTGGGGTGCCCCCCAAGGAGTGGCCCAGCACGCAGACGGCTCCAGTCACTGCCTGCTGGCCTGAGGAAGCCCATCCACCTCCGTGTGAGGCCGGCAGGGCGCTGCCCACTTTCCCACAGGGAGAGAGCGCAGAGCAAGGGCTACGGGGCCCCTCGAAAACAGTGGCAAGAAAATAAACCCTGGGTAGCAGCCCCTGGGGCTTTGTTAAGCTTGGGCTCATGGCCTGGGCTGGGGAAGGGCGACATTGGTAAGGACCTGAGTGCAAATCTCAGCTGAGCTTCCGGGCTGGAGTTTCCAGGCTGCAGAGGCCAAAGACCGAGGGCTGCTCCTTGGAGCTCCGTGGCCTCGGGCAGTCATGTATAAAACATGTGTGTGGGGAGAGGGGTGTTGCAGTTTAGCCTTGAAATGTTCCACATCCTCTAGGTGATCGGATCACAGCGGCGTGAGGCTGGCCAGCGGGTTCATCCACAGATGAGCACAGCAGCAGAGTGTGCCGGTTACAGGCTGGTCCCTGCAGGTTTGACCGGAAGGAGTTTTCTTGTCCTGGGCTCTTCCTTCCTGGCCACCACGTGTGAGCAGCTTTTCATCCATCCACCATATTCTTCTGCCATGTCGTTTCTGCCTTGGAGCCAGCCAACCATGGGCTGACACCTCTGCTCCTTTAAATTGTGGCTGTGGAAAAGTGACTGAGACAGGAGGTTTGCCGTCCACTCTGCTGACCTAAGGTTCACTGGTCAAAAAGGCAGGACGAGTGGGAGTGCTTTGAGGACGCACCCCATACAAAGCCGGTAAGTAGAAGGGTGATGGGGTGCACCCCAGGTGATGTCATCGCAAACAACAGCAAACTACTGGGGAAACCACCGACTCTCATGGTGCACCCCACATCTGCAGGGGAGACCTTCTCAGAACTTGGGGAAGTTCTTGGAATTGCATTTAGGGCCTGGTGATGGGCAACTCCATGGAGCCTCAGGGGCACACGGGTTGCCTGAATGGTTACTTCAGGAGGTAAATTTATAGGCAACTCACAATCACATCACAATCACATGGCATATTTGTACACCTTGTTCATACAGTTTTAGGCCTGAAATAATAACAGTGTTCATTTTACAGAGCTTTTGTCTACAGAGACTCAGTGTGTGGGTGACTAGTTTCTAGGTCACGTGGCCAGTTCATATCAGTGATGGATAGGGCTCAAATCCAGGGCTCTGTCTGCAGCTTACATCGGTGTCTGCTCTGCAGACCTGGCTGCCATCTCCTCCACAGCCCCCGACCCCTTCTCTTTCAGGGGTCTTTGCTTTGGGGCCTGCTTTAGTGGTTTCTGTTGCTTAACCCAACCTTTCCTAAAAAATCAAAGCAGAATTCTCTTTCTAAAGAGAATGCCCTGGAATGCAGAATTCTCTCTGGGAAACGCTCGTTTCTGAGAGCTGAGGCTGGGCTGCCTGCTCGGAGGCTCTGCGGCCTGAGTGAGGCAGACTTTGCGATTCCCACATTTCTGAGTCACCGAGAAGGTGATCGTGGTCATGGACAGCTTTCGCGTGGATTCTGAATGCTGAGGACAGGCCAGAAGGAGGGCAGTCTTCGTTTATAATAAGACTCACATACCAAATTTTACAGGACACTTCACGTGCTACCAATTCTTTTCACACCATCACCACATTTAATCCTTACGATAATCCGTGTTATGGTCCCCACTTTAAAGGTAGGGGAAATTTTGGTGTACAAATCTGTCGTTGTCTTGTCTGGGATCCCAGGCCGATATCCAACAGGTGGGACAAAACTGGGTTCTTCCCTCTGCAAACACGGGACTTCACCGATGACAATTTGTGGCTTTCCCTGGGTGAGGAGACAAAAGAGCCCTCCCAGGTGGATTAACCGGGCACTTCTAGTGGGAATCCTCTCACTCCCAATTCCTGTAACACTGTTACTCGTCTCTTCTCCAAGAATCAGAAAATCGGTCAAAGACATCAAAGAGACCCTCAGCCGCAGTCCAGCAGGTGCCTGGCGACAGGCGGAGGTGGCATGCAAAGACCCCAGGGTCAGGTCTGGAGCTTTGAGCTCAGGAGCCTCCACACCAGCGCGGTCACAGAGGAGCACCAGTTCTCTCCTGGACGCCTGGGGGCTTTGAGCTGAGGGTCTGCCGCAGGACTCCCTCCAAGGAGTTTCCAGTTCGTTAGGAAGAGCACAACTGTTTTGACGTCTGTGGTTGTTGCACAAAACAGAAAGGAATCGAGGGCCTGGCTGTCCGAAGCCAGGTGGGAGAGGACTTCACAGAGGAAGTGGACTTGAGCACCAGCAGGACCCCAGGGCAGAGGAAAAAGCAGCAGAGCAGGCAGGGCTGGGCCGCGAGCTCCTCTGTGAGCGCTCTGGACCTTCCGTGTGCAACACAGATCTGAGCTTGGCGCCCATGACCTCCTCTTCGGGAAAGGGCCACCCCCTTGTTTCCTTGTCCCGATCTCACTTGTGCCCCACGTGTCTGCTTGTTAACCCTGATTCCCCTGTTGTTCTGCTGTGAACCCCGCACCCCAGGCTTTCTGTCTCCGGCTTCATGGTACTAACCCAGCGTATCTCCTGCTGAGCCTGGGTCCTGGCCAGGCCACAGCCCGGGAGGACAGGGATGTTACTTTTCAGAGCTGTCTGTTGAATAGAGATGAAAGATGGAAATACTGACTGAGGGAATCTGCAACAAGTAGTCTTGCCAGAGGTTCACCAAGAGCCACTGTCGATGGGTCTGAGTGGAGTAAACGACTCGACGGTCAGACTAAGTTTTATTAACGTACGATAAAGGCACAACATCATGACTCAGCCTTTTCTTTTTGTCCTGGAATTGAATCCAGAGCCTTCAAACTGAGCTACAATCCCTAGTCTTCGTCCAGGCAGGATTCAGATTTGTGATCCTCCTGCATCAGCCTCCCAGAGTACTGGGCACACGCTCACGCCTAGCTTCGGCTGCACATTTTTTCAATTGCACATTTTTGTGTCGACCTTATTTTCTCTCATGTTGGTGAGCGGGAGGCCTGGAGGGTCTTTAGAAGTTAGGCCAGGCCAGGATGTGCGGAACAGCCCTGCAGGGCCTGGAGAGGGAGGGTGTGGGGCCCGGGTCAGGGATCTAAGAGATTTTGCAACAGCAGATCCGCCAGGGGCAGAGGCTGGAAAAGCCAGATAGGGGGCCAGAGGAGTGCAAGGGAGCCAGAGTTAGAAAGGAACCACAGTTTCCTGAGGGCACTGAGACATAATTAGAACCTTTAATCCACACATTCAATTTTTTTTTTTTTTTTTTTTTTTTTTTTTGCTACTGGTTTTAAGGATTGGCAGAATTCGGGTGGGAGGTGGAGAGGACGGAACAAGGAGGGTGGGAAAAAGCACAGCTGCCTGAGGGCTGGGAGGAAGGGACAGGCCCCTTTTGGCAGATGTGACACAGCCAGGGATTGGGCTTGGGGAACCGGGTGGACCCCAACTGAGCTGAGAATTGGGAGAACGGTGTATCTGGGCTGGGAGGCAAAAAGGACGGAGTTATTTCCGTTGTTTCACACACAGGCTTTGTTCTGAGTCTTAATTAGAGTCTATGCAGATATAGAAATAGAGATCTACACAGATACCTTGTCAATAAACACAACTAACTCTCCACAAGCATGGTTTTTAATAAGGGGCAAACTGTAAATAAACACGCAAATGATCAGAGAAAATGAGAGCTGGATGTGTTATTTTGGTTTTTTAAGGGGCAAACTGTAAATAAACACGCAAATGATCAGAGAAAATGAGAGCTGGATGTGTTAGCTTTTGGTTTTTGAGACAGGGTCTCCTTATGCTGCCCAGGCTGGCCTTGAACTCTTGGCGATCCTCCTGTCTCAGCCTCCCAATGTGCTAGGATTAGAGGTATGTCTCAAAGGATGCACAGAGAACCTGTGGCTGTGCCCAGGAAGCCCAGGAGACCCTAGCCCAGGCAGGGTGTGGTCCAGGCAGACAGCTTACAAAAGGGGTGAGGCATGGGAGGGCTGCGCTTGGGGTGGGGGAGGACTGGGCATGGAGGGTGACTAAGAAGAGAGTCTGAAGAAAACTTTCCCAGCTGTTTGGAAAGAGAAAATGATATTGTGTCTTTGAAAGCATTTTGGACTCAGAAACTGATTACAAATTTAAAGGAGAGGGAGAAGGGTTGAAGGGAGGGGAGAGGGTTGGGGAAAAAAGAAGAATCAAGACATATTATATACAGGTACACATTCCCTACAATGAATGTGATCATTATACATGTCTAAAATGTACCAATAAAGTTATTTTTCAAAAACAGAAAAAATAAAGGAATGATTATGATGAACAAAACAATCCAGTGATTTAAAACTGATGGACGTTTTCCTACGAGTTGTTTATAAAATAACAGGCATGGGCTAGGTATGGTGACTCATATCTGTAATCCTAGTATTCTGAGAGGCTGAGGCAAGAGGATCTTGAGTTTGAGCCCAGTCTGTCTTGAAATAAAATAAATTAATAAAGGGCGTTGGCTATAACTCAATGCAAAGGCCCAGAGGTCCAATCCCTCCTACTGCAAAAACAAACGAAGGAGGTAGAAATGACACTTTCTATACAGAGACAGGAGGCCCAGTGGAGACCCAAGTGGGAACCACGGGCTTGGCTGGGTAAGAAGGGACACAGGAGTCCGTTCCAGTTAGGAGAAACTGAGGGATTGGAGGGCAGGACCTGGCAGCCAGGAAGCTCCGGAGCGGAGAGCCAGGTGCGAACAGAAGGACTGTGTGGGCAGGGGTGACAAGCTACCCTCAAAGCAGCCCGGTTGGAGGGACCTCGGGTGACATGGGCCTAGCGAGCTGTGACCAGAGGCCTCATGACCCTGGGACACCAGCAGGAGCTGCAGAAGCTCCAGGGGACGTCACCTCCAAACCGCCTGGAGCGCGCCTGGTGGGGAGCCAGCCACCCCGCCCTCGCTCTGCTCCTGGACTCAGCCAGGTGGGGGTGGGGCGGCGCGGGGGGGGGGGGGGGGGGGGGGGCAGTAGCAGAGGCCTTGTCTCCCCTCCGCCCCCTGCTGGGTCCCAGCCTCCGCCCCCATCACCCTCCAGAGCAGTGTGCCACTGGGGCCAAGCTGCAGTTGTCCTGCGTGGGGACGGAGCCACCCCCAAGGTCAGGGAAGCTCCCTGAGAGACAGGACTGGAGCCCAGGTGTGTCCTAAAGCCTGGTGCCCTGCACCCTCTCTCTGCTCCCCCTGTCCTGCAGACCCTGGCCCTGCCTGGCACACAATGGCCAGAGGCTGCCACGGGGCTTCATTTTTCCTCCACTTAACAAACAGTACCTAGGCAGCATGCAAACCCTCTGAACCTGTGCTGGGCCCCCAAACGTGCATACCTGCGACTGCCGAGAACCCTCCTTCAGGAGCCACAGCCGGGCCGCTCCCTTCCCTGTGCCTCAGTGATGTGAGACACTGGGGCAGGAACACAGCCAGGCTTCAGAAAGGCCAGAGAAAGAGGCAGACCTCAATTTCTTTGGCTCCTCTCTTCTCTGCTGGTTCCTGTACTTTGGTTCTGCACTGGACAGCACACTGGAATTATCAGCAGGGCTCATGGCTACATCAGCTGCTGGGACCCCACCCCAGAGGAAGGCACGGGTCTGGGTGAGGGAGGACCGGAGAAATAAAGAGAGTAGAAAGGCAGCCAGGGGTGGTGGTGCATATCTGTGATCCCACAATTCTAGGAGGCTGAGGCAGGAGTATCACAAGTTAAAGCTCAGCCTGAGCAACTTAGTGACTTAGTGAAAACCTATCTCAAAATTGAACAAGGGCTGGGGATGTAGCTCAGCGTTAAGGCCCTGTGTTCAATCACCACTTTGGCAAAGAAAAAGAAAAAAATAAGAGAGCGAGACAAGGAAAATCATAATTTAGAAACTGTAGTTTTCAGAAAGCTATAGCTTCGGGGTGCAAAGTCACCCAAGATCATAATGTTGTTTTTCCCTTCCAGAAAACTTGGAACAAGACTCTCAAAGATACAACGGGCCTATAAACTGGGCCCTTCCTTGCCGTGCACTGTAAAATGGGCCACAACTTTTCCCTCGTAAATCGAGCTCCCTTTCTATAGATCTGTGAATTCCACAGGTCTCCAACCCCAAGAGCACATAAATATCCTGGCCCCTGACCATGACGCCCCTCACCCTAAGAGCACCAGTGTGTCCTTCTGAGTGCGTTTTCTGCCCAGTGACGCTGCGCCCCTCACAGACATGTCCTGAGATGCCCTCTGGTGTCAAGTCAAGAGCCTGCTCTGCTGTGGGGTGTGTCTTGGACCCTGTCTTTGATGTGGGGCTGCTGAGCATCTGCATTTCAAATGTGGCTCCAGGGATGCTCATACCGCTGATCCAGGGCACACACTTCAAGAACCACTGCTAGAGACCACACAGCGGGGCAGACTCCCTCCAAGATGGCGAGCATGTCCTGGTTGCTGAGGGAGAACTTCCCCCTCAGTGTGAGCCTGCCTGGTACAGCAGAGCCAGGACACCACCGCATTTCTTTTAGGAAGAGAACCCCCAGCACACAGCCCATGTAAGGCATGAGGCCCAGGAGGGGATAAAGGGGCTGAGGCCCCTCTCAGGGATAACTCAGTTCCCTGGTGGCTCTCACATGGCCGTATTTCCTCCTTTGTTGGTCTCGTACCTCATGCTAAGCTGCGGTGAAAGAGGTCTCCCCAGCTTCAGGCCACTGCCCAGAAGGGTCCTCCACTGAACAGGGCCTACAGGAAGTCTGGGTGACTAGGGCCCTCTGGGGGTGTGGCCAGCGGGGAACAAGTCCAGGCCTGAGATTGCTTCACGCACAGCAGACAGATGCCAAGAGACGGCCAGCCAAGGAGACCTCTGTCCACCGAGAAGTTAGTGTGGAGAGGTTCGGCCCACGTCAGGGGGCTTCAACATGGGCACATCATGGCGGCAGGGAAGCAGAGCAGAGGAAGAGTGCCGAGAGGAACAGGAGAGGGACCCGTCTAGACCTCAAGGCCACACCTCTGTAACCCACAATCCCATACGCTCTGAAGGCTGGAGGATGAAACAACATCCATGAAGGCCCCCTAAGACTGTAAAGGAAAAAGAGCCTACATTACTGTGCTCCTACTCGTGCCTATGTCAATCACCTGATCGTATCTTCCCTAAGAGCTTATGGGTGCAGAGATGGGAACTGTTATCCCCATAGCACAGACAAAGAAACTGAGGCACGGGGAGACTGGCTACATGTTCAAGCCCACTCAAGCTCTTAGTCATTTCTCTATCGCTTCTCTGGAGAGAAAGCAGAAAACCAAAGAAAGACAGAAAGGTGAAACTAACACACCTTCTACTCCATCTTTACAGGAATATGCTAAGGTTGGGATGTTATCCCATTTGTAGGTGAGGACACAGAGGACGAAGTGGGAATCTTCCCTAGGTCACAGGTGGGAAGTGCTCTTTTTCATTAAGTGGATTCTTCTGCACACAAAGCTCATGAGTGATTTTTATTTGCTCATTTTTACTTTGCTGTATGTTCTGTGGTTTTCAAGCACAATGATCCTGCCTCACTTTTATAGCCATGAAAAGCAATCTATGGGCTCACGAAGATGCAAGACATCTGATCCTGAGCCTCTCCCCTGGAGAAAGACCAACCTCCCACTAGCACAGCCTCCCCCCCACCTCTTGTCTTCCTACCCCACAGATGGATTTCCCCTGACTCTTCATTTGTGAGCCCTTGATGTTACCAGACAAGGG